CTTTCCCAAGCTCCACCGTAAAGCCACTGCGCCTGCTCCACTCCCCACCTCCCCGCGCCTGCCCCTCCACCCCCATGGTTTTCCCTCTGATGAGATTTCCTCTCTAAGGGAATATTTTGGTCCTGTTCTCTGTTCCCAAACAAATTCCCCTGGTCCTTTCAATCTGGTTTCAATCAACATAATCACAGTCTGTTCAGTGATATCAACTTTGCCTTGATTTGTTCCTGTAACTCGCGCTGTGTCCTCCACCTCTCGGGCTGTTTTACATGTACACTCAAATACATATATGTGTGCATATACTACATGTAATGTATGTATGTCCTATATTGAAACAGAGATACATTTTCCATCACGCCTGTAATTTCTTTTCCTCTTTCTCCAAGTCAGTATCTTAATGCATATCACCTAAACTGGATTCATTTTGAGAACCCTAAGAGTTCTTTTTACCTTTTAAGAACAGCTATCTAAATCTGGGTTTAAAACTAGTGATAAACTGAGAGCAGACTTCTTGTATCCCGTCATAAATCTCGTCCACGTGATGGAGGAGTAAAGAGTGAGATGAGCAGTTTGCTTCTCCACACCTCGCCAGTGCCACAAAGTGTGTTCACATCCTGTTACAAGTCCTTTCCTTTATCTGGAAGAGAAGATAGGAGGGAAGCTCTGACACATGGAGGCCACAGAAGACAAATGAATATGAGTTCAGAAATGGCAACTGAGTGGTAGAATCTCCATATACTCACCACGTGCTGAATTCCACTAGCCCAGTAAACACGCTGCCCTGGTTGTGCCAGGATATAGGGAAGCAGGACACTATTCTGAGTGGTAGTGAAGGCCCCCACAGCCTGTTGGGTCATTAAAATGCATCCCCTCAGTGCAAAGTTGGATACCACCTAGAACACAGAAGTCAATTGAATTGCTGAATGGATTTGTATCATTACATACAAATCTATAACAGACAAGTCACGGCTTTTAATTAATCGCCAGAGTCAGACACTTAAGAGAGAAGAGTTTTTTGTGAATTCTGAAAATTTAGCTTTACACATTCAGAGCCACAGTCTGGAGGAATCAGAGCCACTTTCCCAAAACAGCAGGCTAGGAAGGGAGGGTTTGGAGGGAAAGCAACAGAGCTCAGACCTGCTCCATGCATGGGGACCGGATGTGTGGAGTCCTAGAGAAAGAGAGGACTGCCTTGGAGGGATCACCGTGGGGGGTCGTGACTGTCAGGTAGCGTGCAGTGTGTGGGGAAACCGCACATCTTCACTCAGCTCCAGGCTGTGGGTGAGCACAGCACTGGGTGAGATTTTATGAGTCTAGAACTAACCCTGACCAGTAAGGCAAAATGTGGAAACATCGGCCACGCCTTCCTTGAAGATCACAAATCTTGTTGAATATAATGTCTCATCCACATTTAAAAATGTAGAAAAATACTTTTTGAACCATGCATTTTTCAACTCTTCATTTTTTTTTTTAATTTGAGATAATTTTTGACTCATGGTATCCATGTTTTTTTAGTCAGCCATGTCTTTGGTTTAGTGAGAGTCCCTCTATTTAAAAGTATAACAGCAGAACGAGAGGGACCCCATTTCCTTTTCATACTCTTACTGTTTCACCAGTTCATGCTAAGAGAGACTTTTGGCGTAGAGGTTTTCATGGGAAAGAACCATACGGTTGGGATTCCTCCCCTTTTCTGCCGTGGGGACAAGATCCCTTTCTTATCTCCCTTGAGAGCAGGGAGCTGGGTTCAGCCACAGGCTCCAGGAGGGAGCGGCTAGTACCTCCCAGTATTGCAGCAGGCAAACGCCCCACCCTGAAGAACGCCTGAGTCCTGTGTCAGGGTCCGGTCCGGGCGCCGAGGCGGAAGCGGTGGCCATGTTCCTGGGGCATTCCGCCTGGAGACCCGCTGACCTGAGCGAACCGTCTGTGCGGTTCCTGTTGATAAATCTCTCTGCCTCCTCAGCTTCCTTTGGCTGCAGGACAGGGGCCATGCCCTCCTCGTTACTTCTTGTCCCCGGACGACGGGGGTGCCCTGCCTTCTCCAGGTCCCGGGTGCAGCGGCTGGAGAAGGGGGACCGGGGGGCCATAAATGGCTTTCGACACTGTCCTTCCTTCCCCTGCCGCTGCCTCCCTGTACCTGCCCAGCAGTGCTGAGACCAGAGGACCTAGGATTTTATTCCCTCAGCTACAAAGTCCGAATGCACTCTCTGGGCCACCACCCAGCCTGCAGCTTTCTCCACAATAAAATACTGATTGTCGGAGGAGTATGCAGCCCAGATGACTTCTGATAAAGTCTATTATTTTGAAACACAAAACGTGTGTCTCTCAAATGCTGGTGTTCACAGAAGCTGGACATGCTGTCAGCACCTGCTCTGAGTGCCTTCCTTTCCCCACCCTTCCTTCTGGCAATACAAGTTGCCCTTCGCTTCCTCCATTACTGGTCTCCTCTTGTTTCCCCTATTACTAGATCTTGCAATTGACATTTTACATAGTTTAGTCATCCACAGTATGGTTGTTTTGAGAAACATGGACTCGCTTACCTTAAGGTCTTTTTTGGCACTAAAAATTCCTCTGGCTTTTATAGACTGTTTCACGGGCTATTAACGTGGAGCAGACTGCCTTTGGAAACAGCAATCCACAAGAGTTCGGGACACCTGGATCCATACTCCCCCTTGTGTTGTCGACCAGAGAGTCACCTTAGATACATCACTTTCCTTGTTGGGCCTCAGTTTCCTCACGTCACACGGAAGCACTGTGTGAGTTCGGCAAACTCTAATATAATAATCTATTGAAATGGATAAAGTAATACTGAAACACAGACACATGATCAGGGAAGTCTCTGCTTCCTGGAGGAAGGTAGAAAGTGGGCTTTAGGCATCCTTGGTCAGTGATAGGAGGCCTGGGAGAGACAGGGAAATCGACTCGCCAGCGCACTGCAGAGTCCCAGCATTCTGATGTTCCCACCAAGAACATACCAGAGGAAAAGGGACTGATGCAGCAGGAAGAAGGTTGGGTGGCCAGCAGGAGGCACACCAGTGCAGAGGGCGTGGACTGCTGGGGGCACCGGGCCCTTCCCAGAGGCCGTTCAGGAGGCAGCTTCAGTGTCGTCTGTTCGTGTGTGCATCTTCTTCTGTGGCCATGCTTTCAGGGCACTCTTCTGTGGGGACAAGGAAGGGGGTCTGGGTGGGGGCGGTGAATACAGTCAGAACTCTCCATGAAGAGGCAGTGAGGAGAGGGGAGGCCTCAGCACGGAGACTGGAATTTGTTCCCTGGGGATATATTTCTGAATCTCTGTAGAATGCAAGGATCGCTCTCTTGGCAGGGAAGTCTCTGCTTCCTGGAGGAAGGTAGAAAGTGGGCTTTAGGCATCCTTGGTCAGTGATAGGAGGCCTGGGAGAGACAGGGAAATCGACTCGCCAGCGCACTGCAGAATCCCAGCATTCTGATGCGGAAACGTCTGCTGTCTGAGACAGAAGACAGGCCTGGGGCCCTGGGAACATTGTCTGCATGCTGTCAATTTTTACCTGCTTTCATTTTGGTAATGTGCTGTCTGGGATCCTGTCGAGGAAGCGTATTTGATAAGAGGTATATTATTTGGCTAATGGTAAGTTTGCCATCTATACATAATCAGGCTCTAAAGAAGATTTGGGTTTTTTTTTTATTTATTAATGGGAATAATTTGAAATTTCTGCACACAGACTTTCCCTACATGGAATGAGTAAGAATCCCAAGACAGTGTTGGTGAAGAGGGAGTTGGGAGTCAGTGTGGTGGGAAGGGAACGCACGATGGGGCCTGTGTGTACATCAGTACTCAGGAGAAAGAACAGGAGTCAGGATGGGGACCCTGCGCCATCTCTGCTGCTCACGGGTGTTTGCCACTGGCCACATCATTTAACCTTCCTAAGGTTCAGTTTTCTTCAATTTAAAATGAAGAATAGGTTGGTCCTTATATCTCATTGTGCTGCTGTAATGATCAATTCAAAAATATACAGAACAGTGTAAACATTAGCGTGTCAAACCTTCACCCCCTGGATGAAGGGGGTCAAAAGTGAAAAGAAAAGAAAAGAATAAAGGAAAAATAAAGTGAGGAAAGTTTACACAGGTAGAATCAGTTAAAAAAATGCTAGGAATAATTATGCTGAGATATGGGACCCACCACTGCCGCCATCCTTGCTTTTCCCCTCCAGTGTTACTTACTCTCTGTCTCTCTTTCTGGATCAGTTCTTCTGTCACTGCCTTTTGAACCTGCCTCGGGTCTGGGGAAGCACTGATGTCCCATGATGCCGAGGGACTGAGCAGTTTTCAAGGCTGGCTTGACCACCATGGCTGGCCTCTTTTCCCATTTGCTCCTGCCTTTTCCTCCCTGGGCCCAGGGTTCCTCAGAGGCTGATGCTAAGGGAGAAAGCCACGGCGGTGAGAAGTGGCAGGATTGGGGGCCGTAGACTGCCAGGAATTGGTCTCAGAGTTCGCCTGTTGCTTTCTGTTCTGGAGAATCAGGGCCCTCAGATTTCTATGTTGATGCTTGTTTTAATTTACCCCCAGAGCTGTTATTCAATGACTTTCTTAAGGGCAAAAAAAAATTTCTCAAGTCTCAGTTTTCTTTGGGCCAGGAGAGCACCCTCCCTGAGGTTTACTTGTAAGATATATATATTCTTAGGAGGTTCCAGCAGAATTCCTATTATTCAGTTCAAAAACAACCCCCTCTCCCCTAAGTGGTCTTGTTAAAGACATGAGCCTAAACTTAAGCCTCAGACTCACATGCTTCTTTTTGTCACTGTGAGGGAGTTAAGCCTTCTTTCTCATACCTTTTGGCTGCCCAACTCTTCCCATATCCTTGTACATCTCCTGGGAGTAAATTCTTTTTGATCCATGCACATAACTGTGCAACTCACATGCTAGGCACTGGGCTGCAGAGATGGATGAGATGTGGGTCTGCCCTCAGGAACAGTGAGATCCAGCAGTCACCTGGAGCTGCACAAGCCCCTGAGCTAGTTGGAGGCCCTCCCTGGGCCTTACCAGCCTGGACGTGGCCTTCACAGCAACGGCTCAGGGGCATTCCGCCCAGCCCTAGTCTCACCTTCACACGTCCTGTCGGGTGCTGGCTCCCGCTGGCTTTTATTTGCAGGTTCTCTAGTCTTGCGCATTCTCTCCTATCCTAAGAATTCCTAATCTAATCCTGATTCCACCAGAGCCGTAGGGCCAGGAGGCCTTGTTGGGGGCTTGATGGTCTACTGTGGGTGGAGTGTGAAAGAGAGGAGGCTCAGGTCGCGAGGAGCCTCTGACTTCTGCGCAAGTCCCTTCCCATTGTAGTGCAGGTGTCCTTCTCTACGCACCAGAGAGCTGCCTTCCTCTCCCGGCTCCTTCCAGGGAGACAACTGTGCCACTTCTGGGCAGCGGACTGGCACTGCTGGCATGAAATTTTTTTATTTTCCTCTTCGGTGTCTGAATCCTTTCTTTGCAGTTGCTAACACTGTTTTGTTTGAGAGATCACCCATGTCTTCCCTCATCTCCCAGGACATCCAGAAACTTCTTCCCTCCACCCTCACATAAGCATCCTCAACTAGTCCACCACAGTCACTTCAGCCACTGTCTTGCTTTTGACTCTGAGTGAGTATCTTTAAAGGGCGCAGGTCCAGCAGGGGCCAGTGGAGAAGAGTGAGCAGGAAAGGGAAAACTAACAATAAGGCCACCAGGACACAGTCCTAAGTGGTCATGCTTCTTAAGACATTCATCCCTTTGACCCAGCGGCTTTGTTTATTGAGTACCTACTAGGAGCCAGGCACCATTGCAAGTGCTAGGGACCCCAAAACATAGAAAGCACTTACAGTCTGGGGAAGGGGACAGACAAGTAAAAGGATGGTTATGAAAGAATCAGGATTGCGACAAAGAGAAGTCAGCCAGGTGGGAGCAGGGGTGGGGTGTTGCTGGCCAAAGGGGTAGCTGGGAATCGTCTCAGAGGCAAGAGAGCACACAGTGTGTCTGCAGAATTGCAGCCCCTCCCTGTGCTGGCGAGCATGATGTGAGAGGAGAACTGGTGAGAGATGAGGCTGGCGAGAGAGACGCCCAAGAGTCAGACGGTGAAGGGCCTCGTGCCAGGCTGAGGAATGTTGGCTTTATCTTGAAGGTTAAAGAAAAGAACAGAAAGTTCTCCAGCTGGGGAGTGACCCAGCTAGGCTTAACTTTAGAAAGATCATTTTATGCCAGCCTGGAGGAGAAACGGTAGGGAGGCTGGGAGCGAGAAAGAGCAGGATTTCAGAAGGCATCTAAGAGTCTGTTGAAGTGATCCAGGAAGAGAGGCAGCCTGGGCCATAGGAGAAGGGGTGGACAGTGAGAGGTCTGAGGAGGCAGAATCTTGGTGGAATTAAAGATGAATCTAATACAGGACAGGGAAGCGTGGGGGCACACTCTGTGAACCCTGGTGCCCTTTCCTGGAAGCAGGCATGGGAGGCAGAGGAGGAGCAGGGTTTGGGGGAATTGGTGATTCAGTTTTGGATATTTTGGCCTTAAGGTGGCCTTAAAATAGTGAAGGGGAGATGTCCAGTCGGCAGTGGGATCTCCATTCAGGACTGAGGTCTGTGTGGAGACGTGGATGTGAAAGTTATCCACATAGACCTGGCGCATGAGATCGCACCATCATCAGCACAGATGGGAAGAGAAAAACGGGATTTTCACTGAAAGAGTGAAAAGGTAAGTCCTGGTGGTGCTTAGATGAAACTGGGAGAGAGGACTGTCACAGAGGCTGGAGGAGGGAGACCCGGGAGGGGAAGGAAGGAAGGGCTGCCATGCACCTGTCTGATTTTAAAATGAGGAACTCAGGGGAGTCCTAGGGGGGCTGCTTCATGAGGGACCTGGTGCTGGTGCTGAGGAGGGGAGGAGAGAATTCTGTCTGTTGTGAGCGATTGAGGAAATGGAGGTAATGCATGCGGATGCCCTTCTCCGAAGCTGGTCTGGGACCAGGTAGTCATCCTGTGAGGAGGACAACTATTTTCTTTTCTGTTTTTAAGGTTGGTGACACCTGAGCACTATATACCGAGGGGAGGAAACCTATCGAGAGGGGCGGGTTGGAGATAGGGCTGGGATGGGGCCCTTAGGAAACAGGAGGGAGGGAGTGGGACCAGTGTGTCAGTGTAGGGCCTGTTAGAGAGGGGTGTGACAAGGATGACCCACCCACTGGGAGGAAACCACGGCTGTTCTCAGGGTGAGCACTCGTCCTGGTTGCCCCAGGGCAGTCTGCTGTGCCACCGTCATCCCCAACAGATGGTAAATGGTGCTCCCTTCACTTTCTGAAGTGTACTGGTTTGAGTGATAAAGGCTCTGGTCACTTCGGTTTATGCATTTAAGTAGATTTATGGGGGGTAGAGAGGTGAGGAGTTCCTACCTGAGGGACTCTTGTGTTGCTTTTTTTCTGAGAATTAGGAGGCAAGATTTTCTGTGTTCTAAGAGACTTCAGGAGATAAGTGCACTTTTGAAAGCGCTGTTGTGAGGAATGTAAGAAAGACCTGACATGGGAATAAAAGCAACAAATTGTTGATCTACAGCAAGGGCTGGGCTGAACCTGGGAACATAAATTCGCTTGGCACCAAAGAGCGTGTATGCGTGTTTCCTCCTTCTCAGCAGTCTGAGTGTCAGCCAGGAGAAATGGATGCTTGAATGGATCTGAGGTTGGGGACGTGCAGGGCAGATGTGACCAGAGGGTAGGAGAGTGGCTGCAGTGAGGGACCATGGAAATAACTCACACCAATTGTCAGCTTTGTACAGGAAGACATTTATTGCAGCATTATTTATGAGAGTGGAGAATTGGAAATAATAAATTTCCTACAGATGGGGTATAACCCAGTAAATTATAGCACATTCCTATGATGGAATATTATGTAGCCATCAAAATTTTGTTTATGTAGAATTTTAATATGATGGGAGAAGGCTTAGGTTATAAGATTAAGTAAGAAAGTCATAGAATGATGTATATTAAACAACCTCAGCTATGTAATGCATAGAAAAACTTTGCATGTGTTTAAAAAAAGGCTGGACATAAATATTCCATAATGATACTTGTGGGAGCTGGTAGATTTCTTTATATATTTTTGTATTTTTAGATGTTCTTCAGTGTGCTCTTCTTACTTTGATGATAAGGAAAAGAACCTCTCTACAGAGATTTATTTAAGGAAAATATTCTTTAAATGTAAAAAAAGGGTGCATGCGACCACAGTTTAATTTGGTCTCCTCAGAAAGCCATTGTAAATGAAAACCAGTGGTCTCCTTCTCCCGTGCACAGGACTCCACCAGCATGGCCTGGGGTTTGAGAACAGGGCTTCTGGTGTCAGACATGCCTGGGTTTGAATCCCAGCTCTGCCACTAATCTTAGCTGTACTGTGCAATGTGGCCATGGTGTGATCCAGGGTGCTACTTGCTCTTGGGCTTGGCCTCTTTGTTTACGAAATAGAGAGAATAATACACACCCTCAGGCTCTTCACATCCCCAAACCCAAAAAGCTCTGAAAACCCAGAGTCATTTCTTAAGGTTACAGCTGATTCATTTGGCTGCAAAATATGGCCTGAATTGACATAATCTTTGTCTCACTTAAGTGAGTATTGATAATTTTGCAGCAGAAATATTAACTCGTTTAATGACAGGGTGCTGCCCCAGGCCCTTTGAGAGTATTCGTTAATGTTCAGTAGTACACAGGACTCAGATGAGAGACTGAACTGCGGGACCTGCCTCAGAGGCTATTGCAGTGTTCAATCAGATGGTGATTGCAGAGTTCTCAGGGACGTTAGCGATCCTCGTTATTGATACTGTAATTGTTCTTGAGCCTTCTTTAAGTACAGAGTGCATGATTTCTGTGCGTCCTCTCTTTCTTCCAATCCCTTCCTTATTGGGATCTTTGAGAAGAAGACTCAAGTGTCATTCCCTGTGGGAACCTGGGTTGACATTATCTAGGACACGGGAATGGAAAAATGGGAACTTCCAGCCTCTTTGCTTCTTCCACATTTCTAGCTTCCTGAAGAATAAGCCACAGCGAATAATGTACGTTAACACGGGTACCCAGACAGTTGAAGAGCTAATTGAAGAATAAGTCTTACTCCCTTGGTGAAGAATTTAACCTCAAAGCACGTGTGTTCATTGTGGAATTGTCATATATTTACAGCACAGTTGCTCTGCATTAAAGGTGTACTTTGCTTTAAGCTAAACTAGTCCACAAAATAAATGTTTTAAATTGAAGAGTGATTATTTACTGCTTTTCATAGGAATTCACCATAAGATATTTTATTGCAAATCCTCCTAGTATCTTTAAAATATAATTCAATTCACAAAAATTTGATTTGCACTCAACCTTTTCAGAAGCCTAAGTAGAGTACAAACTGAGGTCATTACTTCTTTTTCTTGGATGAGTAGGCACTTTATAAATTCTGTTAGTGTGGCATTAGCCAACTACATTATTAATACCACCAAGGGGAATTAAAATGCATCATGTTATAGGATCAAAAGTTCCACATTCTGAATCAAAGCCAGTATATTTCCAGACCCTTCAGTCTGACCACAGTTGGCAGCAGTCCCCGCCCCTCAGCCATGGGACTCACCCACCTTGGGGTGGGAGTCACTCTCTGCTCCCACGGATCTCTGCAGCCCCATCACTCTGCGGGAGTGGTTTTCCTTCAGGCCATCAACGTAGAATCACAGAGCCCCAGGTCTGGAAGGAAGCTTTTTGCAATCCTCTCTATTAGATCCAGTTAATCTGGTCATTTAGACTGCATGCCTGGAAACTTACTACAGCGTTCTTTCTAGTAAGCCGAAATAGATCTCCCTTTAAATAGACGGCTCGAATGCTTTGCAGATTGGTCCAGGGGCAGGAGAGCTAATGTGTTGGCCAGAAATGACTGCCTATTATAAAGTCTCCAACCTTTTCCACTTCAGTTCATCAGGCCCTTCTTGGCCCCCCTCCTGCACGCCCAGCACAGTGTGAGGACACATTCCTGCACATTCTTGGGTTCCGACTTATCCTCCGTATTAATCCATTCATTAGTACCAAATTGCAGGGTTCCTTGCCAAGCCCATCAAGCATAATTGGAGCTTCTGAAGTCCTCAGTCGCATTAGTTCAGTGGTCTCATTAGTCCCCACGCATCATCCAAACCCATCATCAAACGTGTTTCCTTCATTATTGTTCTCATTTTCTTAATACGGGTATTGTTGAGAAAGATTGCTTTCAACACTCACTTTTGCTTAACCTGTTGTTTGATCTCCAGGAAACAATAAATCTTCAGACTAAATAGAACCAAAATCAGGGGAGGGGAGGAAAAGAAGGGCTTAGAAAACAGTAGGTACAGAACTTGGGCCAATGACAGGTCCCATCTCATCTCCAAGAGAACCTTGCAACCAGAGGTGGCCCAGCTTTGGAAGCGATCCCCTTTCTATGGTGCATCACAGATACGGTGAGCCTAGGGGGAAGCGCAGGCTGCAGGGGGCAGCCATTGAGGCTCTCCCAAAGTTCACAGATGGATGAAAGATCCCCACTTCCTGGGCGATCGCAGCATGTGGTCCTTCCCCTGGACACGGTAAGACTTTGGTAACAGAGTGGGTAATCTTTGAGAAAGAGTGTAGGGTCAGCAGTCGGGGAGCAGGGGTTCTGGTTCTCGTTTGACCTCTAGTTGTGACAGCGTTGAGCCCATCACTCACCTACTCTATGCCCTAAATTTCTCAGCTTGGATAGCAATGCCCTCTCCTTATAATTTTCCTAACTCCATCTCCACCAGAAAATCTAGAGCCAGTGGGACATAAGTTTTAAATGGCAGACTTTGGCATATTGTAGGTGCTCAATGTATCATCCCTCCTTCCTTTGAGAGAATTCATGGTTCTGCCACGTCCCCGGATGTGTTTCTCTGCCTGAGACCCTCGTGTCTGTTTTGGAAAGCCTTGAGCCCTTGATCTGGCCCCAGGGTCTCCTGTTTTCCCCACTTGGTCCTGCTGGCACTTGTTAAATTAAGGGGTTGCCTTGCTGCCTGTTTTGGGGGGCCTCGGCTTGCTCTCCAGACCGCCCACAGGGGCGTGAAGCCTTTAAGTACGGTTATGCTTTTGAGGAAGGGGAGCTACACGCGGTTTTCAGGCTCCCTTGACCAATTTGAAGTCATCTTCAGCCCTTTCAGCTCAACTTCTCCAAGCTGCAGAAACTCACCTTTTCTCTGTCTTTTTGGAACCCGCAAAAACTAGAGTGAAGCTGCACAATGCGTTTTTTAAGAGTCAAGCTCAATCATCCGAAGATGCATCAGAGGGGGCTGGATGCAGGCGGGTGCGTGGGGTGGAGAGCAGGCAGGGAGCGATGGAAGGTCTGTTTGCATCTGCAGAAGGAGCATTGGAAGTTATGTTGGAATAATCTCTTCCGCCTTTATTTACCACGGTGGGTAGCCACGGGAGGAGGGGGTGGGAAAGGAAGACAATAGAAGCTGTGTTGCCTTGCCGTGGAAGCATGCTCCAAGCAAATAATGTGGCAAGCTCAGTGAGAGCACTGCTCAGTTAGGCCCAGCTCATAAGGAGGGTCTCCCTGCAGCTGTCCGCGACGGCGGGCGGCCGGCTGGAGCGAAGGCAAGCCCACTCTGGGGCACCCAGGAGGCAAATCTGCAGGAATCCTAAGTGGGAATTGACCTGGGAGGGAAAGCACAGCGTGTGCCAGCCTGATCCAAAGCCATGCTTCTGG